TCATCGCGTCTATGTACCTCCTCTACCGGGGCATCACGGGTTTCAGGACGTCTTCTTGGCAGCATTGTGAAGAAACGATTTCGGCTTTGATACCAACTGATGTAGCGGAAGATTATAGGGAAAATGAACAATCACAAAATGAGAAAACTCTCAAGAAAATTTTTATTAAATTCTAGAACTGCCGCCTCAAAGGGCTTACAACGCCTTAAATAGAAAAAAACCTAGAATTTTTTTGAAAATAGAATAAAAAAGATATTTTTTCAAAAATAGAAAAATATGAGATAACCACTAAGATGGAAAATCCTTATCTTCAGAATCATCCTCCAACAAACTGAATACAAATCCGAATTTTATGGAAAGAGATATTGTAAAAATAAAAATTACCATAAATAGGAAAAAGGCCTAAACGAGGGCCTAAACGATGGATTTTGCCCAAAATTGGTCTTGTGTCAGGGTCAAAGGCGCTGAGTTTTATTCATTGGCTCGATTCCAATTGAATTAGACTAACAATTTGCAAAAACGAACAAACCCGAAGTTATTATGGAATAAAAAATCATTATTTTGTCTTGCGACGGTTCCATTTCATCATAAACTCTAATTTCTTATGCACTTCATCAAATTCCCTCACGCTAACTCAAATCAATAATTTTATATTAAATTCTTGGGAATCAAATTTCTTAGAATTATAAGGTTAAATGATTTAGTTATTGTTAAAGTAATGAGACAATTATGTTTTATTAACTATAATATGTTAGAACTTTTCAATTTCCCTACAACCGTACCAGCACCCTTTTTCTTATTATATATTAATAAAATATTTGAGTATAATACTTTTTTCTTTCTATTAGGATAACTTGTGCATAACCAGCTCAAAATTATTTTTTCTTGAACCCAATTTATCTTAATTAACATGAGCCACAAAATGAGTATAATATTGATCTGTTTTTATCAAATACTAAAATGCTTAATTATTCAATCTAAATAATTTACGATAAATTCTAAAAAAGCACGTGTAAGTAAAATTAATCATTTATACAAATAAATGGGTCATATTTATTGCTCCCACTTTTAGACTTTAGTGTGAGGACAAGGTTGACATGGACTGTTTCATTTGCTAAATGATCAATATTAAGTTTAAGCCCCATATGAGAAATATTAAGAAAAATCCGGGGTGTTACAAATAAAGACAAATATTGTATGATATTGTATTTGTATAATATTTCTTATATTTGCTATATTATTTTTTTCAACATTGATATATATTACTAGATTAAGATATCAATAACTTTTTTATTTTGCATGCTAGAAACATCATAGATATATACATTATCATCAAAAGCACTAACAGAGGCTAGGCTTGATTCATCAATAGATTAACAAAATGAGTCAGGTCGTCAGTTTAATTTGAAAAATATAATCTTTTTCCATTTTATTAACTGTTAATGTATATTTTTATTATCATATCTTAAATTTGTTTTCATATTTGTAGAATTTACGTCACCAAACAAAGATTACGATTATATCTTTATAAGACAACTGAATGCATTTGAAGAATAGTGAATTATAAAAGTATTCATATTTCGAAAATGTTCCATTGAGGTGTATAACAATAAAAACGTTTCTTTTGAAGTTTTAAAACTTATTTTATGTGATGGAAGTGTATTATATAATATCAGATTTAGCCAATATTTTTCTTATAGAAATTTCACTATTAGACTAATATGTTATTTTCTTTTACAATGCTTTCAGGGAAGTAGTTTTCAAGCTACTTTGATTACAGACACAATCAAAAAGTTCTTTCCCATCCTTACTGACTTCTAAATGGAAAAATAAGAGCAATTAATCTTATTCAACATTTTCACATTAATACATAATTTCATATTAACTTTTATTCATACATATATTTTTTTACAGTTTTAATTTTTCCTTTAACAATATTAATTACTTTAAAAAATAGTAGTACTTCAAAAATATTACGTATATCATTTATTCGATATATACGACAGGCAATGCAAATGCTTACTACTAATATATATAAAAGTTGAAGGATATAAAAATAAGCATGGGATTTTCTGTTTTTATAACGCTGCTGAAGCTCTTACAAAATTGCTACAAAGATTGAAGCGGAGTTTATTGATGTGATTGATATGTTTAGTTTAATTTTAACCACAATTTTATAGGATTCACATTTTTTATCAACTTTTAGATCACAAATTTTATCTACTTTTATTAAAATCTACTAAAAATCTTATTTTTACCTAAACTAGACAAGGCTATGTTATTTTATGTAGACTGTCATGAAGATCTGAACAACAATTATTTCTCTATAAGGTGGCTTACGAGTTTACAAATGTTTTCGTGGGAGCTAATTAGAGGCTTTATTGTTCTATAAACGAGGGCTAGACGACAGATTAGATTCCTTTTTCTTTTAGTTTTTTTATTCAAAAATTTCTACAACAAATTGAGTAGGTTGCTGGTGGAATATTCTCTCTCATTTACGAAAAGTATGGAATTTGGGTTTGATTAGGGCTATCCATTTAATTATTCTAGGGTAGCTATTGGGAATTGTGATTAATTTCTTATTTTGCTGACAAGATTCTCCCATAGAAGTAGGGCTGAACAAAATTCTCGAACCAAATTCGAACCCGAACTGAATTGAGCGGTTCTTTTGAATTAAATACCCGAATGAGTATTTGAATCGAGAATAGACGGGTTTTGGTTCTTAGTTCTAGAACTGAAGAACTGAATCTCCCTAATTTTTTTAATTTATTTATTTTAAATAAATCAAATTATTTTATTTTTTCTAAATAAATTTGTTAACTAGCTAATTTAGTTCAAACAAAAAAATATGAATTTTTTATTTCTAATTTTTAGTTCAAAGCCAACTTAATCAAATTGATATAAGTTTTATCTAAATATGTTATTCTACCATAGTATCATTTCTACAGTTCTGAAGAAATCGAATTGAAACTCGATAACACATCTTTTAATTATTTTGAGCTCGCTATCTCACTCTTCTTGTGATTTTAACAATCAAATCTCTGAAAAATTCAGCAAAAAGAGATACAAAAGACACATAAGATTGGACTACGTTATTTTGTAAGAGCTAAGATTGAACATATCATTAGTCAAATTAATGTAACTTTGTAAATACTAAAAAATTTAAATACGATACGGAACTTGAGAACCAAATGGAACTGAACCGAATCCGAACAATTTCACAATTCAATTTGGACCTGACGGTTCCACTTACTAAATCCTCGAAAATTTTGGGTCCGATTCGGTTCAATTATAATCAAACCGGATCAAACCATGTTTAGCCCTACACATAAATATTAAGAATACTGGAAAAATGAAACGGACAAAGAAATATTATGAACTCTTCAAATATACATGTTCTACTATAACATAAATTGTTACAACCATCTATAATATTTCAAATCTCAAACTATAAAGTAATCCAATATAGTTTTTGATGAGTTTCAACAAATCTAATTTGATTCTAGGTCAAGATTTAAGACTTGGGGTTTCTTTTTATCATCAGATGTTAGTTACCAATTTTATCATCATTTGATGTTGATTTGATCCCTAAACATGCTCCTACAAGATAGTGAATCAATTGAGAATACCAATTCTTGAACACGAGTATTCGTTTAAATCTTATCAGCTATTAATATTTGTTGAAATTTAACGAACTCTGATACCATATTAATACTTGTGATTTCATCTTAAAATGTCAACTTTTTAAAAAAGAGTAATCTTTTATTTTATTTTATTTTATTTTATTTTATATATATGAATTTTATCCTTGACATCATAAACCATTCCATCGATTAGGCTGACGGAAGGATTTGTTCTGGAAGCTTTGCCAATTTTTCTTAGAAATTGTTAAAACATATCTTTGTCATATTTTCCTTGAACATAAAACGTACGGACAATTGGCAAAAGGGAATTTCTGACCATCTTTATTGATTTTTCCCTTTAAAACTGATGTCCTATCATTTCTCAGTCCTTCACAAAAGTTTATACTTCTTAGTTTTGACAAAGATTTGAGGAAATTTCCCAACGCACATTGCCCCCGAGATATATTAATCTAGTTTAGGAGCTTTGAATACATATTCTTTAAGTCATCCTGATCAGGGATATATATTTATAAAACGAGTAATGAATCTATCAACTATGGATCACATATTTTCATATTTCAATATTTGGATTTCACTTCGTATAACCAAACAAGAAAAGAAAAGAATTGTGAACTTTTCAAGGCCTTAACTAAAAAACATTTGCTACAAATTACACGCACTAATTGAGACAAAACAAGAACAGAAGCACATTTACATGTATATACTTCTCTTGACCAGAAACTTAAAAAGGATAAAGAAAAATTATTATTCTTCAATTATAGAATCATGTGAACCTGGCCTACTACCTGTCAAGAGGATTCATTAGCTTCCTGGGTATTATTTCATCTCTCACACTCAGTGAGTCACTATGAACTTTTATTGCAACTCTCCAATAGGTGCTTCATTGAGCCACAAGAAGTGGATGAAATCATACAACTTTGCACTTACGCTAACCTGGCAGGAAATAATAGAAGCCAGTGAAATTTATCGAGAGAAACGTTGTCATCAGTGTATATAAAAGTCATGCAGTGCACAACACATTTAATGGGTATACAGAGGTAAAGTACTAGGTGTAGGGTGTAATTGATAGATCATACCTTGTAAGGAGTAGGGTTCAACCTTCTCAGGTGGTCGGTCCGCATCTGGTCCAGTTGTTTAATACAACGTTCTCTAATCAACTTAAGGGGCGGTAATTCTTCTCTAGCTTTTCCTTTAAAAGCCAAAAAAATGGATGTCTATAGTGGAGCGATGAATCAACAAAAGTTGGTTTTATAAAAATATCATAGTATAGACAAGGTACTAGTTAACTTCCCAACATTCATTCATAATCTAGTTAATGAAATTAGTTATCATGTGTAAAAGTGCTGTAGGCAGAGGGGTAAGCTTTTCATAAAATTATGCAATTTTAATTCCTAAGTAAGCAATTGTTTAGGAATGCATATATAAGCAGGATATACAAATATGATCACAGCACTTGTTGGAGTAAATTTATTACTATAAAAAGAAAACTTGTCAGAGTTTATGCTAAAGATACTTTCTGCAGGAAACCATTGCAACTATTATGAGTTTAACAAAATTAGCATGAATTGCCAAACTTAGTTTTCCAAATTATGTATAGCACTGGGAGTTGTGTAATTACTCCCCTGTGGCTAGGGATGGCAAATCGCCAGCCGCCTCAGGCCCAGCCCATAATGCGCGAGCTGCATTGACCATTTTTGGCCTGTGTTAATGTTTTGCATTTCAAAGTCTATTAATTGCTAGGTTTGCCTCTAATTGAGGTCCTTCAATGAGTTTCTTGAAATGGAATTTGTTCTATTTTATTCATCGGGTTCCATAATTTTTAGTTCTATTCATTTTTGTTTGAATTGTTGGAACGAAAACCAAAGAGATGAAAGGATCTTGACAGCTGCTTCATCAGGTTGATGAGAAATCTTGAATTTAATTGGCTGAAAAATGAACATGACTTTAATTTTTAATTCCTTGAATTCATTTTTTTTTCTCTGAAGTAGTTAATACTTACCAATCATCCTCATTTTTTTTTTTTTTTATTATTATCATTTTTTTTCAGTTACAAACCATAGCAGCAATTTCAGTCTTATCGTGATTTTACAATTTGAGTATTATTAATTTTTTATTGTTATTAAAATCGTGGATATAATTGTGCTTTATATTATTCTTCAATTAGGATTTCACGAACTAAAAGGTGAGCCGGCTCGTTGGCATCCCTACATGGGGCTTACCGTTTCCAAGTAATAAGCATTACCTACATAATGGCCTTAACATCCCAGCAGCTATTAGTGTTTTTTAGCACTGCCCAG